GAATTGAGAATGTATAAAGAAGTCTCTAATTTATTAATGAAAATGAACAAAACTAACATAAATGAATAAGGACTTGAATAGTGGTCTATAGAAAATAATGTAATGGAGTAATGAAGTAACATGTCACTTTATTCCTCTGGAAAATACAAATAAAACTCTCACTGAAAAGCATAACAAATATATTAGAATTTGTCTGTGTTCAATGACTGAGTATTCACAAAATGGTGGAGGCAATTAAATTCTCACACAGGTGTTAGGGAACTGTAAAATAATTCTGAAGCATGCCAAAATTCATACTAGTCCTGAGCATCAAGCCAAAAATACAGCAGTTTAGGTCTTGATAAACAGAAGTCAATGAATACTCCACTTTGTTCCAAAAGGTCAATGAACAAAGAGGCGTATCATCAATCTGTAATTGGATTATAAAGTTGATTCTCCACTCATTGTTACTTACAGTTAACAGAAAACAAAAGCACATGAAAGAAAAATAAAAACTAGTGTAGTTTAGACTGTTATTTTAAAAATCATACAATTTGTAATAGCACACAGACATCACAAAGAACTAGATTCAGTCTTGGGAGAGAGTGAAGGGGTTTCATGGAAGAAAGAGTATATGTATCTTGTGGACTCAGCTCTGTATCCCTGAATGCACAGCATGCTTCAGTATTTAATATTTTATTCCAGACTACACAAACATTTTATGACCCGTCCCGTGGATCCAGTTATTAGGGCAAGAGAAGGAAGGAGACCAAGTGGCGCAAAAGAGGGGACCAGAGTCCATCTATGCAATTTTCAAGGTCTCCCTTTATTGGGGTTCAGAGTGGGCTTATATAGCCCTGCACCAAGGAAATTGGGTAAGCGGGGAGATAACAGGAAGGAACATCTGGTGTATGCTGGGGCTGGAGCATTCTTCTTATCAGCCAGAACATCTTGTGGTCTTCTTGGAACAGCAAACAGGAAAGCTCAATGGCACTTTCTCAGAACAGAAGCTGTTAGCAGGTCCTCTTGGACAAACCATCTAATTACAGGTTACAGGAGGCTCACAGAGCTGGCTTTAAGCTGCAAACTTAAAGGTCATAAAAAGGCTTACAAAAGGTGTGGTTTAATACATATAGTTTTGGGCGCATGGCCCTTTGCAATTTTATTTTTCATTTTTCAGAAAGGCAGTTTGTCACTATTGTGTCCAGTAACATGCCTTTTAAAAAAATATTAGCATTCAATTTCCCACATAGAGAAAATATTTGGGTAATTCTTCTGTGATGACTAAATTCTTCATCACAATGTTGTCAACCTCCATCCACACAAACAAGTTCCTTTCATGCCTCATTTATTTTAATTTTTACTTGTGGCCCTATTTGTGTGCCTTTAGCTTTTGAACTTATTATTAAGCCCTGTTGAACCCACCTGTAGAAAGAATAGGGCTGGCCTATGTTATTCCTACCCCTAACCCATCAGTAGCCTCTAGTTCATAAATGAAGTGTACAATCCCATGAGACACATGCTCTTCAGTAACATCCAGCAGAAACAAAGTTGTTACTTTATGCCA